AAAAAAAAAAAAAAAAAAAAATGCCAATCTTCAACCTTGCTATGGTGACTTGTGATTAGGTCGAGTTCATGTCGAGGAGATTTGGGGTTGCCTTTGTCAGCCGTCTGGAAGAAGCACCAACCTGATCCTACTTTGACTTAAATTCTCTGCTTGACATTTTTTGGCCAGTGCTGGTAGTGTGAATTTAAATGCGAGCTAGCTTGAACTCTGGCTTGTAGTTCAAGTTGGTGGCTAGATTTATTTTTTCTGTCCTTAAAGTGACAAAATCAACAAGCAAGTTTTCTTATGTGGCCCTCTCTGTGTGGCAGGTTTGTTTGCCTCTGTTTTATATGGGATATCCTATTGGACTTCGCATCTTGGACAATTTTTATTCTTATTAGCATGTAAATATAATAGTGTATCTTGAAACAGAAGGTAGATCAGGTGTTTTTCCTTTTTATGCCTACAAGCTGAAGTCATGCTCTATATCAGGTTTGCGTTCTTTTTCCATTAATGTCAGAATGTGGACATTTTGTCATCCTTCTGGAAACTTTTCATATGCATCATCTTTATGGCTTCCATTACATGGATGCTGAGTGTACTTAACCATCTGTCACTGTTGGATAGTTCAGTGTTTTCTTTTGTTGTTGTGAGAACAGTTTCGACCACTTCACTCTTACTGAGGCTAGTGACCTTAGGTTTTGCATATAGTGTTGGGATGGCTGTGAAGAAGACAGAGATGTCCCTTCGCATCAGGCTCACAGCCTCGCAGGGAAAGCAGCCAGCAGCCCAGAAATGAAATCTGGAATGAGGGGAGACAGGCAAGGCAATGCCATCGGCCCCTCAGGCTGCTGACTTGATTTTGCTGGAGGAGGCGATACCAAGTTAAAGTGCCTTCACATGTTTTAGGCTCTTGATTGTTTTATGTTTATGTTTGGTGATTTAACCCAATAATGTTAAATATATGTTCAAATATATGGTGACAATGTGTTTTCTCTTCAGTACACTGTCCATTTAATTTCATAAGCTACTTACTGTTTATATTGATATATAGTATGAAGTGGTTTCCAGTGGGGCAGCCCCAACAAGTATGTGATAATACAGCATCACTATTTTTTCAGATTCACAATGACTCAGTCTTAACTCTTTCCTAATGTGGTAGAACTGCGCTCGACCCCACTCATGTTTAGCAATTCTTTCTCCTGAGGATACAATCAGGCCAGCATGGCCTCCTTGGAGTGACAGGCTCTTAGATGAGTAGCTCATCTGTCATGGCTTTAGTTCTATGGTTTTGCAAGGGAACTCAGTCTACTTCAAGGGTGAGGACAAGTTTCCACCTGCTGTGACACTGATTTGAATAGGTAGAGTTTCCTGCTTCTGTCCTCCCTGCCTTGTCTTTAAGGCCTCAGAACCAAGGCCCAGACAGAGTGGAGTCCGGGAGCTCCCTCATTACTGGGCAAGATGTCTGCAAGAGGTAAAGGTCTCCCAAGCACATGACTTAGGGACTTAGACACAACCTGAGATGCGAGGCCGGCTCCCTCCTTACACGTCTCGCCGTGGACATCTTTGCGTTCCCCCTGTGCAGCAGCTCCTTTACAATAAGCAAAGCGTTCATTCAGACTTAAAAGAAAAGTCACGTTCTGAATATTTTGGGCAAAACTGAGATATTTTTAACTTATCTTCCCAAATTCACCCAAAATGATTCATTGAAATCCACTATGCACGAGGCATTCATGGACAAAACTTCCCCTTTGCCCCAAATGCTACAAATTACATGGGCTCCCACCTAACACGTCAGCTCGTCTGTGCTGGGAACGTTGCGCCTAGGCTGCGAGCCTGTGGTTTGAACACGCGCTGAAGCAGGGATGACATTTTCCATAATGTGCAGAGGCCAGGAATGCAGAAAAGAGTAAAGTATGACAGCGAAACTGGTGAAGCCGTGGGCCAGAGGCAAGCTGTGCAACTTCACAGTCTCTTGAGTCATCAAGATCAGCAATGGCCTAATCTTCATTGTTGTATTTTCCACACCCAGACTGTCTGTTCCTTATTTGTCACTTACCTTTCTTATCCTAAAGCCAAGGCCACAGTTGTTATCTCATTATCCCGAGTGACAATACACAGAAAGGTGAATGGTGTGAGCTTCCAATAGAATTACTGCTGATAACACAAAATCTAAACCATAGCAATGACACAGTTCCTCCCTAGGCAAACAAGGTAGCCACAAATATGGGTAGCTGAAAAGCCAGGGAGTGAGGGTGAAAAAGATAACCTGTCTGCCTGCCTGTAATCAACCAGCCCCTGCACCCTGCCTTCAGGTCCATGATGCAGTCGGTATTTCGGGTCAGATCCTCTCTGTTGAGAGTAGAGCCAGGCCCTACCAGAAGTGGAGAGGCAGGAATGACAAGCTATGAAACATGAGTGGGAAACCGACCAATGCCAGGGCTGGAGGAAAGGAATCCTGTTATTTGATCTGTGAAACGAACAAACAAACAAACAAATTTCTTCTGGGGCCAAAATTTCAGTTGATAAATTTTTTATTAGTAACCTGCAAGTCATACTTTCCCTTTGATGATGCCTTTTATTGGCCCTTGAGGGATGTGAAACTTTTAACAAAGGTGAGTGTGCTACAAATACATTACTCCTGAGTAAGGCAAAGTACAAAGGAACAGCACAATTAAGGATGGATGGAAGGACAAAAGGACAAGTGTCTTGCCATGAGGAGGGATCCAGGAGACTGAGGGCCAGAGGAGAGGGAGAGAGGAAGGGGAACTAAGTAGAATAAAGATGTGCCACGTGCAGGAACCCAATAACTTCAATGAGTGTAAAAATTTTATGTCATAAGCATGAGCTAAAATTAATATCAACAAGAATGAAAATGGAGGCTGGGGATATAGTTCAGCGGTACAAGTGCCTGCCTGGCAAGCACAAGGTCCTGAGTTCGATTCCTGGTACCAAAAAGAAAAAGAATTAGAAAATGGAGAAAGAGGATTTGGAAGGGGAGGCAGGGAGGCGGGAGGGAAGGGATTAAAAAGAGAATCAAGGGGCTGGGGATTTAGCTCAGCGGCAAAAGCGCCTGCCTGGCATGCGCAAGGTCGTGAGTTCGGTTCCCGGTACCGGA